CTCCTGGGGATTGGCCCAAAGTCACCCGGTTGGCTTTCATGGCTAAAAGGGACTAGAAGTCTCCTGCTTTTTAGCCTGGTAACTTAACCGTTAAACCAAACTGCTCCCACCTGAAAATTGTTTTTCTTTTTTCCCAATCACTGCAGCTGATCGATTTATAATTGAGAGCAGGCAGCGAATGCCAAAATAATAAAACAACTTTGTTCGGTTTTCATTGATTCTTTTGGATGCCCCGAATGTAAAATATTGATTTTGTCTCAGAGATTGAGCCGTCCAAGACAATGCACTATATTCTGGCTCTTCCGGTTTAGACAGCCTTATATCCAAGTTCACGGTTGATTAGAAATTCAGGACTGGTCGATCAAAATTACGTAGGGTCACTGCACACTCTGCGCCTTTTGGACATGTATGTGGTGTCAATGTTACCATGGTAACTGAAAGAAAAAAACCCATCCCTCCTCCTTTCACCATTTCCTTCCTCCTTTCTTTTACCCCCTTTCCTCTTTTTCCATTTCTTCCTTCTTTCTCCTTTCCTCCCTTTTTAACTTTTCTTCCTCTTTTAATCTTTTTTTTCCCTTTTCTCCTTTCTTGGCTCCTGCTTCCCTCTTTCTTTCCTCCTTCCTTCCTCTCCCTTCCTTTCTTTTCATCCTCCACCATCCTTCCTCTTCTTCCTTCCTTCACTCCCACCCTTTCCCTCCTTCTCTCCTTCCTTCCTTTCCTTCTCTCCTTTCCCTTCCTCCAATCCTTCCTCCATCCCTCCCTCTCTCCCTTTCCTATTCCTTCCCTTCCTTCTCTCCCTCCTTCCCTCCCTTTCCTTCTGCTTCCCTTCCTCCCTTTCTTCCTCCCTTTCTTCCTCCCTCCCTCCCTCTCTTCCCCAAAAGAAGAGGTTATTTCCCTAAACTGCTTTGGTCACTAACAAGGGTGGGATTCCATTTTTTTAAACAAAAGGTTCTGTGGGAGTGGCTAGGTGGGCGTGGCCAGGTGAGCATGGCCAGGTGACTGGGTGGCTGTGGCTTCTTTTTGCAGCACCCCCCCCCCCCCCCGTGCTCCGTTTTTGGGCCTCCAGGGCCTCCGGGAAGCCGCCTGGGGGAAGCGGTAAGACAGCGAGGGGGATCCCGGCACAGCTGATCATCGGAACAGCCGATCGTCGGAATGGGAAAAGTAAAAGAAATACCTGAAGGAGGGACTGGGCAGGGGAGAATGCAGTCAGCCATGTCGGGGATGCGCACAATGTTGCGCATGCACGATAAGGACGGACTTGGCAGGGAGGGGAGGGTGGAGAGGGGCGGGGCCAGCCAGGGGCACGATTTGCATGTACTTCGAACTGCGCAGAATCATAACAACCAGTTCTATAGAACCGGTCTGAACCGTTAGAATCCTACCCACCCACCCAGTCACTAATCGGCATTGCAAGACATCCACAGTTTTAAAAATGGAATTTATGATGGGGAAATGGAAAAGCACGGCCTGAAACCCGATGGCTGCCCCAGCCAACAAACTAGTGCGCCTAGTTTGAGTGGCGGAGCTGGCGTCGCGACGATACGGCATGTGATCTCGGAGGTCTGAGATCGCAGCCGATAGCTTTGACCCTGGACGGTCCAAATGGATCTAAACCACCCCTTATTCAGATTTTTCTAGACAAGGGTGAAGACCAGAAAATATTCCTTTATTGTGTTCCAGGAAACAATAGCCACATGGGGTGGTCAACAGAGTCTGGCCAGGAAGGGCTGTTACCGTAGTTCAGGATTGACATGGTAGGGAAACAAATTAATTTTCCGATGAATGGGGCTCTTTCATTACACCAGTTAAGTCTTCAGGAAAGTCCTCCATTTGGACAGGTAGTCCTCGATTGACAACAGTTCATTTAGTGACCATTACAAAGGCACTGAAAAAAAAATGACTGAACGACCGTTTTTCACACTTACAACCGTTGCAGCCTCCCCGCTTTTCAAATAATTTGATTTATTTCAAACAAATCCACCAGGACCGTGCAGTCTTCCCACCACTAACTGAATTCCAGATGTTAAGAAGAGAAAGCTGGAAATACTTCTGAATAAACCTGCTTGGAACAGGGGGCAAAGGATCCCTTTTCCAGAATAACGAAATAACGGAAGGGACCTTGGAGGTCCTCTAGTCAAACCCCTCACTCAAGCAGGAGACCCCATACCATGTCAGACAAATGGCAGTCCAATCTCTTCTTGAACACCTCCAGTGATGGAGCAGCCACAACTTCTGGAGGCAGATAGTTCCACAGATTAATTGTTCTGTCAGGAAATTTCTCTTTAATTCCAGGTTGCTCCTCTCTTTGTTTAATTTCCATCCATTATTTCTTGTCCTGCCTTCGGGTGCTTTGGAGAATAAATTGACTCCCTCTTCTTTGGGGCAGCCCCTCAAATATTGGAAGACCGCTATCATGTCACCCCAATCCTCCTTTTTATCAGATTAGACATATCCAATTCCAGCAACCGTTCTTCATATGTTATAGCCTCCAGTCCCCTCATCATCTTTGTTGCTCTTCTCTGCACTCTTTCTAGAGATTCAACTTCTTTTGTATATCATTGTGACCAAACCGGATGCAATATTCCAAGTGTAAACCAGGGGTGGGATTCTACCAGTTCGCACCTATTTGCTAGAACCAGTTGGTAACATACTAAGCAGTTCAGAGAACCGGTTGTTAGAAGAAATTTTTACTGGCCTAATCCTGTAAGGAAGGCAGGAAGGAAACATTCTGGTGTTGCTTACAGAACCTGCCTCTCCGCTAACCCTTATTACATTCTTGGCAGGACTAGACTTCCTGTCTCAGGAACTTCTCTGGAGTTTTTTTCCCCCTCTTTTGCTGGTACTTTGCTTGTGTGGAGTGAGCATTCAAAGTTACCATTGCACTGAAAAACGTGACTTATGACCATTTTTGGAACTTCCGCTTTGAGCTTCTTCGGCGACAGACCGAAACCTCATCTCTCCGAGGCTTCGATCCGTGCTCGCCGCTGGAGCGCCCTGAGCCGGCTGGTTTTGGGGCTAAGCCACCCCGTGGAGGTGGTGAAGAGTGGGGAGACTGCCTGCAGGGTTGAGGAGAGCCACATCTCTCCTCCCCAGCTGGCCATTACTCCCTTTCCAAAGGCGGTTGTAGCGGTGGTCAGAAATGGCCACCACAAAGAGGAACTCGACCGGAAAAGAATGTGCAGGACAAAGATAAGAAGAGAAAATTTTGGTTGACCAGGTCAAACAGCAAAAGCAACAAATAAGGCACCCTGGAATTTAAACTTAACAACATTGTTCCCAAAGAAGATTTTGAAGCTGCGAAGGAGAGAGAGAAGGGAAAGGATTAGGGTTTTTTTCTTCCCTTCCTTATACTGATTAAGAGACTTAAGCAAGAAATTGAAAAAAAATCCACTTTGACACTAATAGGCATCTAAGCTGAAAATAAAAGTCAAAGGGATAATAAAGATTTCTGGACATTTAAAAGTTTTTAAAAGCAGGAAAGGAGGAAAAAAAAGAATAAAAGGGCAGGATCGGGAAAAATGGAGGAGACTGCCTGGAATTAAGGAATGGAACTGTAATTAAAAGGAACTTACAGTGAAATTTTAACAAGATTCCTCAAAGATACACTTTAATTGAGACTTGGTAACAAAATAATAGAACCCCAGGAAGAGAAAGTGGAAAAAAGAAGCAAGTAGAAACAGCCTTGGATTATTGGGTGATTTTTGGTTTTTGCATCTAGATGACTAAAATTAACCAGTTGGTTGTTTAAAAGTTTTTAAAATGGTATCACTCTTAGAAGAACTGAAAACGGAACTTTAAAAATGGAAAGAAGATGCACAAGAAAGGGAGAAGTTGTTTTGGCTTCGTGTTTCAATTCTTAGAAATGGAGATCTGGAACTATGAGAAGCAACAAGAAACGCTTGCAGAGCAAGAAGATTGGGACAAAGAAGAAGCCATCTTTAATGATCAAATAATTTTAAGTGGGGGGGAGAAAAGGGGGAAAAGAGAGTGAAAGTTTTAAGACTAGAAAAAACAACCAAAAAGAAGAACGATTTGAAAGATAAGTATAATATTAGAAAGCAACAGAAGAGGGGATTACAGATGAGAGAGTTAGAAGTAGAGAGACGAGGGGGTAAAAAGGGGAGGGAGAAGAAGAGGGGGAAGAAGGCAAGGAAAAGAAGTTGTAAAAGACAGAAACAAGAAATGGAGAAACAGAGAAAAGATATAAGGATTGTAACCATAAGCTTGTTTAGAGATAATGGGTGAAAATTGAATTGCAAAAGGGATTCTGCAAAGGTACATAAGATAGCATTGTTATATTACAAATAGAAATAATTTTAGAAAATATGATGATGGATAAAATATTTACTGTAATGTAGTGGGATGTTTGTTAATAAATAAATGAATTAAAATGATTGAGAGAATTAAAAGGGAACATTTTTAATTATTAATAATGATTTATAAAAATATAAGTGAGAAATATGGGGGAAAAAAGAATTAATTATGGAAAGTTTATAAGTGTTCCCAAGGAAGTATGATATTTAATTGAAAAGAAATGTTAAAGATGTTAAGATTTTAATGCATACTAATGATAGAATTGAATTGAAATGGAATGTGTGTTTTATTTACATATATATATAATTTTTTCTTTTTAAGAATATAGTCTCTATTTTAACAATGTACCAAGCAGAACTTGATTTGAAGTTATGTATTATATGGAATGCTATAATCTTAAAGGTATACATTAAAGCTTAAATAAGGGTTTGAATGGATAAAATTAAAGGATATAAAGGTGTCATACTCTAATTGGAAACTACAGGGAAAAATTTGTTTAATAAGAAAAGATAATGTGAAATTGAAACAGGACAGACAAAAATATAAATATAATGCTTTGAATTGAGATGAGATAATTAAACAAAGTTGAGAAAATTAAAAGAGGGAAAAAACTATATAGAAAATATAAAATGGTAATAAGATATGGAATAGAATATAAAAATGAGCATGAAATTGAGTTTTGTGTCTGTATGAAGAAGTGATAACCTGGGACCATGCTATTTTCAAAAGAGATGTTTTATTTATATTTTGTTTTTGTGAAAACCCAAATAAAATTTTCAAAAAAAAAAAGTGACTTATGACCATTTTTCACACTTACGACTGTTGCTGCATCCTCACAGTCATGAGAGGCCAGACGAGGAGATGTGTGCCTTGATGTGAGTGATACTGAGATGGCCACGCCCAGCCAATGACATGACCACCAAGCCACGTCCACCAGGTCACATGACCACCAAGCTGCGCCCACCAACTAAGCCATGCCCACAGAACTGGTTGTTAAAAAATTTGAATCCCACCCCTGGTATAAACCAGGTCTTAGAGGCTTGTGGACTAGTATTTGAGACCGGTTAGGTTAAGGTTAAATCATGATTGGGGGTGTAAATGAATCCTATATTAGTCCTAAAATTAATCCTTGGTGGCGCAGTGGTTAAAGGGCAGTACTGCAGGCTATTTCTGCTGCCTGCCGGCTGCCTGCAATTTGGCAGTTCGAATCTCATCAGGCTCAAGGTTGACTCAGCCTTCTGTCCTTCTGAGGTGGGTCAAATGAGGACCCAAAATTGTTGGGGGCAACAGGCTGGCTCTGTAAACCTTAGAGAGGGCTGCAAAGCACTATGAAGCGGTATATAAGTCTAAATGCTATGGCTATATTGGCAGCTTTGCTTCTCCATTTTGGTCTAGTGATTTCCATTGTCACTTGACTTTCTCCTGATTGTGTGTCACACAACTCTGCTTCACGTGAGATTTATTTTTCCTATAAGTGTGCAGAAAGCGTGTCGGTGCCTTATCCTGGATTTGCAGTTGTGGTTGGGTAGACAAAGGCTTAATTTTGCAGGAATAATGTGAAGTTCATCCATCCAACAAAATTGGAAGGGACCTTAGAGGTCTTCTAGTCCATCCCCTTGCTCAAGCAAGAGACCCTATCGCATTTCAGACAAATGGCTGTCCAGTCTCTTCTTAAAACTTTCCAGCATTGGAGCATCCACAACTTCTGGTGGCAGGTCGTTCCACTGGTTCATTGTTTCCTGGATCGGAGACTTATCAATTATTTCTTCATGCCGCTGTTCGAAACTTTCCCCAAATCCCCTCTTAACTTTTGTTTTTTTTTCTGTAGGATGTGCAGCGGCTGTGACATCACAGCAGCGCAGCCAATGGCTATGAAAGAAAGTCACGTCAGGGGTCAGTTTTCTCATCTGATCCACTCAGAGTGCTCTTCCCGCAAAACGGGACCAAGAGAACAGATGGAGAGGGAATCGTCATCCAGAGGTAGATTTGGTTGGGGGCGCTCAGCTGGTTCCTCTCGTCCTTGACACCGCGTAGATTCTTTAACCAAAATGTCCGCCGTCTTTTAATTCTCCATCTTGGCCCAACGTTCCTGAAGTTTGCGTTTCAGCTCCTCATCTATCTCTGCAAAGAGAAACGGCACATCAGCAACGCACAGAGCCAGGAGGTTGGGTGGGTTGATATTTGGTTCGCACCGGTTTGGGCGAACCGGGTGTTAATTTTACATCCGGTTCGTTGAAGCGGGAGTCCCAATGACTGGCTGGCCCCGCGCACCCCTCCCCACCCCTCCCTGGAGTCTCCGCGTGGCCCGTTGTGGATCCCAAGTTAAGTGCAGAACTTGCGCGGAGGCTCAGGGCGGGCAAAAAATGGGCCTCCCAGAGGTTCCGGAATCGGGAGTCTGTCTTCACGCTCCTGGAGGCTCAAGGGAAGCCTCCAGAGCCCGGGGAAGGTGAAAATAGCCCCACTCTGCCACGGTGCAGGAGGCTGACTAGGCCACACCCACCGAGCAACCAGGCAGAGAACCCGTTGCTAATTGTTTTTGAAACCCGCCCCCTGCTCAGAGCCTGCCTGCAGAGTTAAAAACAAAACCCTGGTTTGGAAATGAATTTAACGACCGCTCGTCTTGCAACCGCCCAAAGTTACGGCAGCCACAAAATGGGTTTTACACACCCTGTAAAGCAGGGGTCCCCAATCACCAGGCTGCGGACCGGTACCGGTCCGTGGAACATTTCCTACTGGTTTGCTGGGCGCCGCCATCTTGTTTGACGAGAAAGTGCTTCCGGGTGAGCTTTTCCAGTTGGAAAGCGGCGTTTGGGTCCTGAAGGAATCCTCGCGCCTTAGTTTCATCGAAGGGGGGGGGCTTCGAACGAAACTAAGGCGTGAGGATTCTTTCAGCACCCAAGGCAAGGCGAGCCGAGCGACCGTCCCGAAGCCGTCACGAAGCGAAGCCCATCGACAAAGGTACAAAGGAGGAGTTGAAGGTGGTGGGGAGAAGCGGGGGACGGCTGGCTGGCCGGTCGCTTGGCTCGCCTTGCCTTGCCATGCATGCTGATGCCGGTACCGGGCCGTGGTATCATTTTGTGATGCCGCGGCACAAAAAAGGTTGGGGGCCACTGCTGTAAAGCACTCCAGGTTGCTGTACACCTCAACTGACCACAAACTGAATTACCTTTAGCAGGTTGCACCCAGGGGCGGGATTCAAACATCCCAGCAACCAGTTCTCTGCTTGGTTACTTGGTGGGTGTGGTCCCGGTGGGTGTGGCTTACTCGTTTTCACCCTCCCCAGGCTCCGGAGGCTTTTCCTTGAGCCTCCAGAAGAGTGAAAACGGTCTCCCTGGGATCTGGAGGCCCTCTGGAGGCTGGAAATGAACCATTTCTGGCCTTCCGTAACTTCCAGAAGGCCCATTTTTCACCCTCCCTGAGCTCCAAAGGCTTTCCTTGAGCCTTGGGGGGGGGGCATTTCCCCCTTTCCTGGGCTCCGGAGGCTCTTTGGAGTCTGGAAACGGGTCCATTTCCAGCCTTCTGGAGCCTCCAGGGGGCATTTTTTGCCCTCCTGAGCCTTCACACAGGCCCTGCACTCAGCTTAGATCCAAAACAGGCTGCGTGGGGACTCCTGGGAGGGGCCTTCCCCAGGGTCCGGAGGCTTCTCACGAACCTCCGGGTGGGTGAAAATGGCCTCTCCCGGGCTCCGGAGCCTCTCCGGAAGCCAGAAACAGACCCATTTCCAGACTTCCAGAAGGCCCATTTTCCCCCTCCCGGAGCCATTGAGTGGACTCTGCACTTACTTGCATCCAAAATGGACCACGTGGAGACTCCTGAGGGGGGAGGGGAGCGGTGGGCAAGGCCCGCCAGCAGTTGCAACTACCGGTTCGGCAAACCAGATGTAAATTTAACATCTGCTTTGCTCAAAGCGGTCCAAACTGGTGGAATCCCACCTCTGGTTGTACCGTTCCACAGTTACATGACTACAATTTGCTAGCAAAAAAAAAAAAAAATGCCTGCAGGTAGTTTCCGACTTACGACCGTTCATTTACGGAAGGTTCAAAGTTACAAGGCCACTGAAAAAAGTGACTTACGAGTGTTTTTCACGCTTTCATATTTATGATGGTCACAGCATCCCGGAGTCGGGCAATCACCCATTTGCAACCTTCTGACCAGCCAAGTCAATGGGGAAGCTAGATTCACTTAAGAACCCTGCTATGCCAGGGGTGGGATTCAAATTTTTTAACAACCGGTTCTGTGGGCGTGGCTTAGGTGGTGGGCGGTGGCTTGGTGGTCATGTGACTGGGTGGACATGGCTTAGTGGTCATGTTATTGGCTGGGCGTGGCCGTCTCAATATCACTCACATCGAGGCACGCATCTCCTCACCTGGCCTCTCATGACTGTGGGGAAGTTGTTACAGTTGTAAGTGTGAAAAATGGTCATAAGTCAGTTTTTTCAGTGCCATGGTAACTTTGAATGGTCACTCCACACAAGTAAAGTACCAGCAAAGGAAGGGGAAAAAAACTCCAGAGAAGTTCCTGAGACAGGAAGTCTAGTCCCACCAAGAATGGAATAAGGGTTAATGGAGAGGCAGTTTCTGTAAGCAACACCAGAATGTTTCCTTCCTGCCTTCCTTACAGGATTAGGCCAGTAATTTCTTCTAACAACTGGTTCTCTGAACTGCTTAGAGTGTTAACAACCTGTTCTAGCGAATAGGTGCGAACTGGTAGAATCCCATCCCTGCATTATTCACTGAAAAAATGTCATATTTAAGGACAGAAAATTTGGGCTCAATTGTGGCCGTAAGTCGAGGACTACCGGTGATTAATGACATATTGATGGAATCCCATAGGTGGATTTATATACCATAAATTAACTTACCCCTTAAAATCAACTTGCCAATAAATTAACCAGTTAAATTAACTTACTGTTTCTGAACCACAAAGTCTTCTCTTTGGTGGAAGGTATACCAGGTCCAAGGGAAGAATTACTCTCAAGTAGGCTGCCTTAAAGAGATTAAGAAAAGCACATGTTGAGATTCTAGAAAGAGTGTAGAGAAGAGCAACAAGGATGATGAGGGGACTGGAGGCTAAAACATATGAAGAAGGGCTGCTGAAATTGGCTACGTCTAGTCTAATTAAAAGAAGGACTGGGGGAGACATGATAGCAGCCTTCCAACATTTGAGGGGCTGCCCCAAAGAAGAGGGAGTCAAGCTATTCTCCAAAGCACCTCAAGGCAGGACAAGAAGCAATAAGGATGGAAGGTCATTAAAGAGAGATGCAACCTAGAATTAAGGAGAGATTTCCTGACAGACCAATTAACCAGTGGAACAACTTGCAACCAGAAGTTGTGGATGCTTGATCACTGGAAATTTTTAAGAAAAGACTGGACAACCATTTGTCTGACATGGTATATACTATAGGGTTTCCTGCTTGAGGAGGGGGTTGGACTAGAAGACCTCCAAGGTCCCTTCCGGCTGTATTATTCTATTCTATTCTATTCTATTCTATTCTATTCTATTCTATTCTA